TGGTGGAGGGGGGGGGGGCTCCGTTCTGCTGAGGTAGATGCGACAGAGGGGTGGCGCTAAAGGCGGATGTAAGGCGGTCGTGTTTGGCCTGTCCGTTCGACACCGTTTTTTTCCTCCTTTTCACTCTTCGCTTCTCTTTTGGCACCTCAGGCGAGACAAGCAGGGTTGTGAAATTCCCAGAATTTTTTTTAAACCTTTCCCGGGAATTAACAGGAAGTGAAATTTCCAAGGATGTCCACTTGTAAGCGTTTCTGTGACTCCTCCAGTCGGAACCTGCTGACGACACGCCAAGCTCCTTGGCCGTCTCAGAACATCCTGTTTGAAGTGTCGCCACGGTAACCGGAAGTTTTTTAAGGGGAGCTGCCAATGAGCTTTTCCTCTCGCGTCGTCAGCAACACAGAGACTGGAAGCGTCACACACAAAGGCATTCAAGTGGACGTCTATCGGAAATGGACCGGTCCATTTCAGGAACAAAACACCTGTTGTGAACTCAGAATAGCTGCAAAAGCTCATATAAAGTTGACCCGGGACCGTGATCCACTACATATTCGCCGTTGCCATTTCGTACATTCTTTGAGGGAACCTTATTCCCAGAAGCCCTTGCATATTTGCTTTTTTTGTCTTTTTTTTTTTTTTTTTAACCCGATCCCACACATATTGCCCATGGGGGACTTTTCCCCCTTTCTGCATGACAATTGTAATGAATGTCAATTATTGGAGAACTTTTTCTCTTTGCAAGGCAAGGGTCCACAGTCCTGCCTTTTTGGTTCATCCTAAAATTTCCCCATTAGAAAATTCTAATTTTTTGTTGGTTGTGTAACTCAGGGAAAATGTATTCTGAGCATAGTTCAGACTACAACAAGCAGAAAGTATGGTGATACCATATCTTATCCGACCAGTTTTTATACTTACGAGCTGTCACATGGTGGATTTTTTAAATTAAAATTTCAAAAAGTGACCCTCCATTATTCTCTGAAATTTTTTTCCCCAAAGGTAAAAGTGTTGTTTTAGCACCATCTCGGTGCAACACAACTATGTTGAAGTGAGTTGAAGGGCTCCACTTAGTGCCTCTATAGGCGAGTATCTCGATTTTTTAGGGGGTGAATGACTCATCGGTTTTGAAAATGGTTACAGCAGGGCTTGCTTACTATTATGATGCCCTCACGTAAGCAAGGAGAGCGACGGATCTTGAATGGGTATGTGACAAAACAAAATGTTTATATTTATGTTTGAATGTGATGGCTTACCAATGAAACGATCATCAATTCTCAGTTAATTCCCGTGAAAACTTCACAATTCTGAATATTTCCCAAAGATGAACTTTCCATGGAAACGTCCCCAAACTTTCCAGAAATGTACTGAAAAGTGTCCGGATTGTATCGAAAAATTCCCAGAAAATGACTGAAAATTTCTCAGAAATGTTAAAAAAAAAAAAAAAAAAAAAAAAAAAAAAAAAAAAAAAAAAGTACCCACAAGAATTGCAGAAATGTACCCGGAATTTTCGTAGACATAACCGAAATTTCCCGGAAATTTTCCGAAACTCTACCTGAAATTTCCTCCTTTTTTTGGGGAGCCCTCGAGACAAGTAAAAGAAAGGACAGGTGAGGGTGGTGATGGTGGACGCTCCCTCGGTGCTGGGTGGGGGGTGTGGCATGTATCCGTTGAGGAGCTTAGTTGTTACCGTTGTCCGCCGGCCTGGCCTCATCCTCCGTTTTGGCCCGTTTGGCGTCAGGCGGCGCACCGCCGCCGCCCGCCTGCTGGTCGCTGCTCTGCCGCTTGATGGTGGGCAGTGACGCCGAGGCGGAGGCGTGGTCAGCGAGCAGGTGAAGCGGGTTCGCCACGGACGGACCTGAAGAGCGACAGACCGGCGTTTAGTCCGATTGTGTCAGTAACGTCGAGGGTCGTTTATCGTGGGAGGCGCTGCATAGGTAGATGCGCGCGCGTTCTGACCGCTGCTCTGTATGGCGGTGGTGATGCTGTGGTTTCCGTTCTGCGTGATCGTCTTGACTGGCAGCTGGTGTTGACCCAGGATAGCGACGGTCTGCACGGGCCCGGACACCGCCGAAGTCTGGATGATGCGACCCACCGCACCCGTGACACTGGGCACCGCCTCCACTTTCACTGAGGGAACACGGAAACACACACGTTTAAAAAAAAAAAGGGAGTGGAGGGGCGCTGTTGATTGGTCACAGAAAAACCAAAGTTGAAGAGCTGACACGTGACTAAAATTCTGTTCCAATAGTTGAAGCGTTGTAATGTTGAACGTGAGACTGGTTGGAATAGTTTGAATTGTGCAATGGTTTGAATTTGAGAATTTTACTGTGAAAAGCTGGAATGTGGCGAAGGAGGGAATTATCAGAATGTGGAGCAGAACCTTCTGAGTTTGGAATAGGAAAGATGGGGATTTTTTTTTTTTTAGCTCATGCATTCTCAGCATCATGTTACTTTTTTTTTTTTTCTAATAATCCACCTGTTTAGTGTCAGCTAAGCGTTAACTTGCATACGGGGTATTTTTTTCATGCATTTGAATTAGGAGGCCCTCATACGATTGCCCACTCAGTATCAATCTTGAAAAGGATTGTCATGAGTTGCAATCGCCAGCCCATGTCGCGGCAAGTTGATTTCAACCATCATACACCACGAGATAAAAGAACACAGACAAGACTAAAATGTAACCCCCCCCCCCAAAAAACAAAAAAAACAAACATGTAGCGATTAAAAATGAAAGTAAAGCTTTATAAAATGATTAAATAGGAGCTAACGGCAAACCTTTAACCATAGTCAACGACTTCAGATTTGTGTGCGTCAGATCGGGATGATCTCGCAAAAATCAGACAACAGAGTTGAAGGAAGCAACTTTACTTTTCATCAACTATATGCGACAGATAAACAATAGTCGCAAGTATTTGTACCGGAATGCTTCACGTTCATTTGGATGCCACCATTCCGTCCTGGGCTGGCACGGAATGGTGGTTAGAAGTTGGTCCTTAGAAGTAAGGACCAGCCGCCACTGGCAGCGACTCGACTGGGCTTGCTCGATTTTGGGGAATGAGCGTGAAAACTGAAGGTTCGAGACTTACAGCGTTAATTTCGTGGACTAAAAATTTTCATCATTCACTTCGTCACAAATATTTTTTTTTTCCGGATGAAAAAATATACATGTAAGTCATTCCTTAATGTGATAACGATAATGAGAAAGATTCGAGGGTGAGAGTGCAAGATAATATCCATAGCTGGTAGAAAGTAACGAGAGGATTTGTGGCCCGTTTCACGTTCCACGATGACGAGAAAAAAATAAATAAAACGAAGTGTAAAGAATGTGGAACAGTCACGCACGGGAAGAATGCTACCATTTGACACCACACTGACCCACCTTTGCTATCAGCTCGCTCTCCGTTCTCCTGCATCTGCAGTTCGCTCTTGCTGATGACGACGGCGGCGGCCGGCTGCGTGATGACGGCGGCGGCGCCAGCGGGGATTTGCTGCAGCACGTGGACCGTCTGGACTGTCTGGACAGGCTGGGAGGAGCTGGTGCTGACCGGCGACGCCATGGTGTAGGTGACCGGCTTGATGCTTTGAGGTAGCTGACCCTGCAGCGCGATCAGCACCGGCTGGTTGCCGACTGGAGAGCCTGGAACGGCATCGGATTACATACCGCCCCATCCATCAATTGTATCCATCTGTCCGCCATCGAGCGACAGCCACAATTGGAGGACAAAGCCGAAACCAACCTGGTGTGTTCTGTGCAAAGTGAGCTTCTTGGATGACGGCCAGTTTGGGTTGGACCACTGTGGTGGGGGCAGCGGGGGCTACGGAGGTGGTGTCTATCTCCATGGGGACCGGGGAGCCCTCTCGGGACAAGCTGTCAGGGGTCTGCACGCCGCTGGAGTGAGCCGACAGCACCCCCGAGTGGTTGGGGGAAGCTGGGGCGCTCCTGCGGGGACAAGGAACATCCACCAAATGTTCCAAGACATTTCACACATTCTTCAACGCACTTCCGGTATCCCTCGATAGCAGGGGTGCCCATTAAGTCGATCGCGATCGACAGGTAGATCGCCGACTGGTCCCAAGTCGATCGCGAGGGGTATTGAGGAGAAAATAAACAAACAACCATTTGTGTGTCTTTGTGCATGTTCATACCGTATTGGCCCGAATATAAGACGATCCCCTCTTTTTCAAGACTCAAGTTTGAAAAAAGACTTTTTGAACACCAAATTAATTTTTATACAGAAAATAATGATTCTAACAATATATTTGAGAGAAAAAGCATGTTATTTTGCCTCATTCAAATCTAAAGTGCAATCACATTCGTAAATGAATGGCTTCTGGTTTTTGTAATGTAAATTTCATCATAACTTCTCCTCAGCTGCTGGTTAACCTGGCCGATCTTCGACCCACTTTTCTCCAGATTGTCGCTACGTTTCTCCATTTTCTGTTATCTCTTCTATTATTTTCTTCTCTTTTCATTCTTACCGCTATTTTTTATTTTTCTTCTTCGTGCTACCACTATTTTTATTTTTCGTGGTAGGAGTTCACGTTGGCCTGGGGAGTCAAGTTCAGCATTCGCTTCAATGATATCTGGCGCCATCTAGTGTCGTGAATGGATATAATGTCTAGACCCCGAATATAAGACCCCCACTTTTTTTTATTTCAATGGAAAAAAACACCGTCTTATATTCAGGCCAATACGGTAATATATTTTTTGGTGTTAATGCACACTGCACGCTAATCATCCTATCAGTCTCGTTTTCACAAAAAGTATTAAAAAAATAAAATAAAATAAAGCAGGTAAATTTTTAACCTACGGTGGCGCGTGACCTGCGACACCGGAAGTTGTTAGCGCTCAGCAGTCTGCAATTGCAGCTTGTGATCAGAGCCGTTGCGCGATATCTTTTATCGTTATCATTATTCTTATTCAAAGTTTGTTTCGTGTACAATTCACTGAGGGCACGGGCAAAGAATAGGAATTTAGAGGGCCGAGGGTACGTGTGAGCTACGATAGTTAACACGCTGCAAAAATGCGTCGCATGCCTCCGTATCAGGATGTTGCTCATCATGTCGTGCGTGCGTGTCTATGTTCGTGCGCGGCAACGGGTCGATCGCGGGTGGTTGCTTGTTTGAAAAGTCGATCTTTGGTCCAAAAAGTTTGGGCACCCCTGTTCTATAGCGTGAGCATTTTGCTGATTCACCAGTGAACAGTTGGAGGCAACACAACTGTAAGGTCATCGAGAACTAAATTTCGCAAAATCCACCACCTGTGGTACAGGGTGTTTTGCTGATGTTGTTTGCGGCAAAATCTCAAGGTTGCACACGTTTGCGTTATCGTGTCTTCAACAGTCATTTAGATGTACATGAGGTCACGTAAAATGACTTTTGATGCATTGCCGCATCGGGTGCACCCGATTGGCGTTTCTTTCGTCAATTCAGCTGTCGCCAAGTGATCAGGTGAGTGCCGGGCTCACCTGGAGGAGAGGGGCCCGTGCGGCGTCCTGAAGCAGGGGACGCCGCGGGGCCGTCGTTTCCTGAAGGCCTGGTCAATGAGCTTGCCCTCGGACGACGGGTCTATCCTCCAGAAGGAACCTTTGCCGGGCTCCTCCTGCGAGCGCGCCACCTTGATGAAGTAGCGGTTCAGCGACAGGTTGTGGCGGATGGAGTTCTGCGGCAGGAAGCAAACGAGGAATATGAGCGGGGCCCCGTTGCTCCCGGCGGCGCGAGCGTCAATCAAAGTGACCTGCCAGCCCTTGTCGGCGGTTCTGTAGTAGGGGTAGTTCTTGGTGATGTGATTGTAGATGCCGTTGAGCGTCAGCTGCTTGTCCGGGGCCAGCGTGATGGCCTGAACGATCAGCTGAGCGTACGAATAAGGCGGCTTGGAGTCGTCCTGACCAAAAACAACCACTTCAACTTCAGCGGATATTCACAGCCACAGTCGAGTCAACTTCATTCATTTCGGCTCCTCAAAACTTTTGAATAAGCCTGGCCGACCGCTCAATAATTCTGTCGATGTTGCACGGCATGTCGTTCGCCGACAAAAAAAAAAAAAAAAAAAAAATCATTTCAAACACATCTTTCCAATATTACCCTTCAATATAAATGGGTAAGAGATGATTAAATAAAATTAACAACACATCCTTGACACCAATTCCCACTTTATTTGGCAGGGCTTCGGTGCCATTTTGTGGCACAAAAATGCACAAATAGGGATACATTAAAAAAAACAAAAAAAAAAACAGAGGATAGATTCCACTGGAAACAAACCACCAAATGGCAAATTTGTGAAAGCGTGAAGTTGAATCATTTCACCGCACTTGTTTTCCACGTGGTGCACTTGGGACTCTCACCTTGGGACTGTCTTCGCCCGAAGCGTCCTTATCGTTTTCAGGCTGGGAGTTCTCGTTGAGCAGCTGCAGCTCGGCCGAGCTCACCATGCGCCCCCCCATGCGGTACCCCGACGAGCCGGCCCCCCGAGGGCTGGACGGGCACGAGTTGGCGGCGCTGAAGACCGAGATGGCACAAGAGATACAACGACACATCGGCGTCAAGGTCGGAGAAGCGCCAGAGTCGGCGTGAAGGTCAGCGGACGCGCAGCAAGGTCAGATCGGGCATTTCAAGGACCGGGCATTCAGCCGCGCTTTAAATAGCTGTCGAGGTGACATGATGCGATGCGACGGATGCGCGCTGCATGTCGGCGGTTGCGACGAGGCTCGGAGCAGGTTACCTGATGGTTCCGGTGGGCGAGGGGAGCGGACTCATGAGGTGGGCGAGGTTGTCGGGAATGTTGATGGTGAGCGGCGCAAAGTGAGGCTGCGCCGGTTTGACGGGAGACTCGGGGGCTTCGCGCCTCGTCTTCCTGCCGCTGGACAAAGCCGTGAAGGTGATCTTGATGTTGGTGCTGGGGAACCTGAACGTGCACCTGAATGGACGGCAAAGGAACTCATTTTTTCCCAATTATACCATCAATTAAAAAAAAAAAAAAAAAAAAAAAGGAATTAGCAACACTAATACCAATACAAAATATGCATGTGAGGTCCAGGTTTTATTGATGTCTGCTTCCTCACACACGTGCGATTTTGAACATACGTGGCATTAAAAGGGCGAGGCCTCACCTAGTGAGTGCCGTGTGCGCCATTAGATTGTAGTTGGCGACCGTAAGCGGAGGTTGCTCACCTTTGAGCGCCACGACACTCACTCGCGGCGCGAGGCAAAATGAAATTCGCTAAGAGGTGTTTATGTTACCTTGTGTCAACTATGTAAGCCAGTCAACATCTTTTAAGTGTAAAACGATCCTGAATTTTGAACACTGTCTTTGACACGCCTTTCCTCCTGGAACGGCGCCAGCACGGCAACTTGTTTCTACACGGAGCGGCGCATGGCTCTGCAGCAACATGAGGCCGCGTGGAAAAACGTCAACGTGAAGATTCCGAGGCGGACATTGTGCACCAACTTTTACTTGTCGTCTAATCATTCCAAAAAGAGTTACACCACAAATTCTGTGTTTCTGGAAAGCAATCGCACCTCACCGGTGACTCCATGCCAACACAGAGGAGGAGCACGTGTCGCAAATGGGAATTATTCACACCAATATTTGTTCAGAGCTATTTTTTTTAAGCGCCAAGTGTTACATTTTGAGTCCATTTCTCTCAGGGAAAAAACAAACTTGACGTATTTTTATTTGATCGAAGGTGCCGCGTTCTCTTTAGTCTATGGTGGGGAGGTTTGGTATTTACTCTCCTTTTTTAATGAGAGTTGTGATGACATCATCCTCAAATTACAAGACGGAAGACACGTCCACGTGTCCTAAGAATCCTCAAATACCAAACACGAGTCCCTTCATCTGCACAGGGCCAACCAAGGACAAGACTCCTCTTTTTTTTTCTTTTCAAACGCAGAACTGTTGCAAATGCTCCGTTTACATCTCCAACTTTTGGCGTGAGCGTCGGCCCGGTGGCGGAATGTCAACAAACGAGGGCGGGAGAGGGAATGAGGTGGGAATGTGCGGGGGTGGGACATGAACGCAGGTGTTGACATCAGCACCGAGGAATCCGGGCAACACGCAGGGAGGAGGTTTGTTGCTGTACGTAGTTGCCCATATGGATGCGCGATCATGTCATCAATGTGCGACATACACTTTGCTTTGGAGGCATTCACACATAGCGAGTCAAGACGAGATAGACAAGAAACGAGGCCATTCAAGTCTCGAAACGTTGGGCAGTTTTCATGCAGACAAATTGAAAACTGTGGCCCGACTTCTTACAACAAAATGTGACCTTTTCACCATATTAGGGGGAAAAAAATGGAAACACATTTTCCACACGATTGGATTGAGGATGCTAATTAACACAAATGGAGTCTTGGCACAAAATGATCCCGTCCAGTTAACACGAACAAACAAACAACACACTGAAATAGTTTCAAAGGATTGCAAAAGGTTTCCTAAGAAAATATTGCTTAATGTGTCGGTGGCAATCTTAATCTGAACAGTACTCCAGGCCTTCATTTTGGGGGGGGGGAAGTAACTAAAACGAACGAGATTCTAGCAGATGTTTGATGACGAAATATAAAATACAAGGAGAACAAAAGGCACCTCTCATTCAAAAAAAAAAAAAAAAATCTGCCTTGGACTAAAGACTTTCAGTTCTCAATCATGCGGAGACTTTGAATGGTGTCAAAACATGATTCTTGAATGCCTTTCTGTTCACGTTTCCATGAAACACATCACCAAAACAGTAAATATGACTTTTACTAAACCGACTTAGTTGTGTTATTGTTTAAAGCAACCTACATCCAAGTAAGAGTTCTCAAGTGCAAACCAGGAAAATGGCATTGATTTGGGGCACGTTTTATATTTTGCACAATGACTCACATGAATTTCAAACCCATCGTAATCGAGAAACTAATCGGGCCAGTGACAAAAGCTTGCTTGTTTGCATTATCAGGAGACCCCAACGACCAGAGATGTAATTCTTTGCGTGTTTCAACATACTCGGCCGCTCAAGCTGATTTGAACGTTATGTTGAAGACTTTAGTTAGGAAACATCCACCTTCTGCGGGAATTTAGAGCTCAACGTAATCTCGAAGCGAAAGAGGCCAAAGAAACAGTGACAAAAGCTGCTTCGTCTGCTTTGCAAAGTGAAGATTAAAATGAATAGAATAATAATAATAATAACAATAATAAAAGAACAACACAAGCCGGTGGCTAATCCCAGCAAAAAGGGTTCTGAAAATGGATGGCTCGGAGTTAAAAGCGTCAAATATGCTATCTTAATAAATACTTGTTCTTACAGTAGAGAGGTCAAAAAAGGAATATGTATGCGTGCGCGTGAGTGAGAGCGCGCGTGCGCGCGACCTGGGGCGGAGACGCTTTCGGTTTGTTTACGTCCAGCGGCTCCATTCACAATACACACCAGCAACCAGCTAATGCTATGCGCAGGCTAGCAGTCTGGTCGACACGTCTGCCTCAATAAGGCCAACACGTCTTTCCGAAATATCATCTTTAGTGGATTAATAGGCACCCGTGTGTCAACATTAGGCCGCGTGAGCTAGGCCGGCCTAGCTCAGCAGCAGCTACGGGCTAACGTGGCTAACAAGAATGTCAACAAAGACGACGGAGGAAGGAGAAGCGTAACGGCTAACAAGCTAAAACACGTGCTGCCCCCCCACCCAAGAAAAAATGAAATAAAAGAGAAAAGCCCCACATCGCGAAGCCTGATTCTTCAGTTTCACGTGCCCAACCAACTTAAAGTCCCATCGTTCCAGGCGGGGGGGTTCGCAAGTACTCACATCGGCGGCAGCTGCAGCGGAGCGGCACCCCGGCGGAGGAACACCCCGTCCACGAAGACCCCGTTCTTGCCTAGGCAGCGCAGGTAGAAGTCTCCTCCTCCGCCTTCGTCGCTGGTCGTGAAGATCTCCAGGTGCCGCCGTGAGATGAAGCTCGAGTGGCCCATACTGACGTCCACGGAGCCCTGCGACGAGTTGCGGCCGATGCTCACCGAGCGCTTCTTCATCACGTATTCGAACTCGCGGCCCTCGAGCCGCGCCACCGGCCCGGATGAGCCGCTCACCGCAGCCATGGTTAACGCGAGGGGCGGCTCGATGAACACGACACGAGTTACGTGGTGGAGGCCGAAACCGAGTCACCTACAAGCGGGGCATCGAATTTAGAAGCGCGATTTGGTGGGGAACGAACATGCGAGGCCGGGCACAGCGGCTCCGACCCACCGCCGAGAGAAAGGCCAGCGCCGAGAAGCGCTACCTAACCAGGGAGGGGTGGGTGCTGAATCCGGGTAGCTTGACGGCGCCGCTGGCCAATCCCGTGCTAGGACATTGATGCAGCGCCGAGAAATCGACCAATCGGAGGAGAGGAGTAATCCGAGGACACGTTCAAGATCGGTTGAAGGGCACGTCTGCACATATGGGAGGACGGAGGAATGGCGAAATACCAACCAGAAAACGTTAAAAAAACAAAACTAAAACCTCAAAATATAAAAACGACAGTATCCATATGTCTCTGCCGGCATCCGTTAAATCAGCAGTTTGTGGGGATTAACAATGTACATAAAGAGAGTTCCTTAAATGAAGGAGATGTTTCTGCTCTCTGTACTCGATTTATTTATTTATTTAGGATTTATTTTTCAGAGGAACTTTTACTCCATACTTTAGAAAATGAATATTTGCCTTTCTTTCAAACGAGCAATGGTGCAAAGTAACCAGAGACAAACAATTTGTTACTGTAATGTCAGTTTGTTTTTTTCCAATATCTGTTTTATACCAATTTATTTCTTGATGACTTTTACTTTTACTCCTTTCAACGCATCTTTGAGTATTACTACAAGTGCTATACATATTTATTTTACAAGTGATGATGAATATTATGTCATTTTAAAACAGTTTATCCGAAAAGGGAAACTTGACCCCCCAAAAAACATTTAAATAGTTTTAGTTTAGTCTAAATGTATCTTTTTTTAATTCATAACTAGGAGGAAAAAGTTATGATTTGATGAGAAAAGTTGGCTTTTGAAGAGAAAAGTTGCGGGGGGGGAATCATAATTTCCTGAGAATGTATGAATAAATGCGTGTGGTGCGGGGTTGACAATACATTTTTAATGTTACATTAATGTTTATGTTAATAAAACAAACTTATTTGTGTCAAAAATATTCTCATAAAAAATATTTTAACATAATTATCTGCCAAATGGATGGCTGTCAGTATCTGTCAATGCAGAAAATTGGCTGGTAACCTCCAATAGCCACTAGAGAGCACCACACACTCTCTTCATGCTACAGTATTTGGGGTGACGTCATGATGCCAGTTGTAATGTTACCAACCGGGGAAGAAAAACATTATTTCCTCCTGAGAATTTTTTTTTCATATTCATCTTCTTCTACTCTCGTGAACATGTTTTTTTTAAATCGGTAATTCTCTGAAAGTGTCCATAATAATAATAACTTGAGTTGTAATATTTTAATGTACAGTACTTATATAATTTTAAAATATTAAAAATACAAGTAAAAAAAATAAAATTTCTACCTAATTTGAATTGGTAATACATTTTGAATTTTTTAAAATAATTTGTATATACACACACTATCTATCTATCTATCTATCTATCTATCTATCTATCTATCTATCTATCTATCTATCTATCTATCTATCTATCTATCTATCTATCTATCTATCTATCTGTCTAATAAATTTGTCTATGACAGTGTGGAATTGAATGTGGCCAAAGCTTAAGCACATTTGCCGTGAAGTCATATTCCCATTATTTCACACTATCAACTGGTCTCGTCCAGGCTGTAAAAGTAAATCATCAGCGACCTCTGGGTGATCTTTCACCTGCTGCTGTCGCTGCTTTAAAAGCAGACAACGACCTCGTCTCTGTTAGACTCGCTAGTGTTTCATCTGTTTTGTTTTGTTGCTTGTCTGGTGACAGCACACTTAGCATTAGTGCTAATGAACGTCACTAAGCTCTCACAAACCTCTCCATCTATCATCATCATCATCATCATCATCATCATCTGAAACATGAGGAAGACGAGGATGATCGGCACCATGGCAACCCTTCAGGCCTACAAACACAACAGAGGAAGGGAGGGCATGTTGGGAGTCCCTCAGGGATGACATGCGAGCAGTGGTTTGATCAGAGCGAGAGATCCATTACTCGTCCGCTTCCTCTCCAAATGGAGGCCATTAAAAATGCTCGTCATGTCTGGGAGAAGTCCAGGCGCCTCACGTGTCTGTTGAGGCGTGGCCGAGGCATGTTGCTTTCATTGTCTTCTTGGTCAGCGGCTTCAAGTCAACACGTGTTCAGCAAGTTGTCACCGAGGGCCGGTTGACCACAGGTGATCCATTTCACATTATGACATGTTAAGTTGGACTTCTGCATTGAGCAACAAAAACAAAATAAAAACACAAGCTAGTAAAATTGGAAAGCCTTGCATTATGATGCCACGGCACTTGGAGTACATATGAATGATATAGACGTTGGAATATCGCGATGTGGTCAGTGTGGGGTAGAATCATTTTAGCACTTGAACCTCAAATGTGATTTTAGTTAAGAGGTGTGTTGGTGTTTCCTCTTTCCGGGGCGAGTGGATGCTCCTCCCGTAAAAAGCCTGCACTGCTGGTTTGACTAGTTTTGACACCACAAACGAGTGACAATTCCAGAGTGACTTCAAATGGAAAGCATGTAAATACTAACACATGACGTTCTCATTTTATCATCCACAAAATCAAATCAAGTGTGCTAACTTCATGTTTGTTACTCCATGGATTTGAGTTTTTTTTTAAATTTTGGGGCAGAAAATAGGGACCAAAATAGCAAATTTTCATAAATTTTGGCTTGTGAATTCTTCGGTGTTAAAAATATATGCGGCAAACAAAGACTCACAGGGGCCGGTGACGCGTCAGCATTTGAGGATGTCACTAGACAGGACCTTCGGCCGACTGGCAGGCTTGTTTGACACACCAACAAAATGAAGCCAGAACGAAAAGACCAAAAAGAAAAATAAGAGGATGAAATGAAAAACTGATAGTGCTAAGGTCTAGAAAAGTAGTCATGGCACTGTCCCAGGCCCACTAAGCATCAAAAATATTTACGAAGCTCACGTGAACATGACAATTTGACTCAGCATATTTTTTTTTTTTTGTTTAGCAAATTGTCATTTGGGGAAATCTTGTGACATTGCTACTGACATTAGTTCATAAATGAGATGACGCGACACTATGTGCTTTCCATTCCTTTTGTTTTTTACTTTTTTTTTTACACACTTCTTTATACAATCCATGTGACGTTTTTTTTCAGTATCGATAGTCATGTTGTTTGTCACTTTACATCACTGAATCAAAAAAAAAAAGGTCCCTGAGGGCTTGACAGGTTCACAGTTGAAATAAAGCAACTTGGCAAAAAGCGGTCTCAGCCCCATATCTGGGCTAGGGAAAAATTCATGAGAAAACTCATCACGGTGGGTGGTGGGGTGGGGTGGGGGATGCAAGACAACTTGCGAACGGATGACAGACGGGTGGCTCTCCCTTCCTTCACTAACTAACGTCAAAGATTATCAAGATATCGAGAAATGTTCCAGCTCACAAGTCAAGTGTGATCAACGTCAACGGGGACATCCGTCAAAAATGTTCCTTCAAGTTCAAGTTTTGGAACCTTCTCCATCTTTTCATTGGATCCCTCCTCGCCCGTTTTTTTTTCCTGTCCCGTGGATGTTGAGAATGAAATCCTTACATGACGAAGCTTCCAGCTCACTCGTTGTCAGAATGAAGCCAGGAAACTGCGTCTGGATCTTGTCTTCTGGTCCAGATGGTTCAGGACAGGTCACGGTTGCTTTTGGGCAAGTCCAGCTCCTCCTCGGGCACCAGCAGGCCGCCCATGTACCAGAAGATCCACAGGAAGATGCTCAAGAAGATCAGCAAGGGTCCCGAAAAGACAAAAAAGTCCCAGTACCTCAATGAGGCAAAGATGCCCACCAGGAAAAGCAGTAAGCCCACCACATCCAGGATCACGGCCACAGCCAGGAAGAAGATCGTGCATCTGTTGGGCTCCATGGGCGGACTGAGACGAGCGGACGTCGACTGAGCTGATTTGGACGCCGGCGGCTCTCCTCAGACGACTCCTGAGCAATTGTGGAGCGGAAAGGCTGGTTCATGAAGAAGTCCATCTTCATTCCTGTGCTGGGCTGACTTGTTGGACTGCTTTCTGATGCCTTTCTGCTTTTGGACTGCATGACAATCGCAACATCAATCAACATCAAGTCAGTCAACATGCTAACACCCTTCAAAAAGGATTACAGTCATTCTCCCTGCATTGCAAGAGTTATTCCAAGGGCACCACCGCAATAAGCCACAATAAAGGATACCCGTTACACTCTAGGCATGGTTTTACAATGAGAGCACTACCAATTCGTTTTAAGGTCACACTGTTAAAACAATAAACACATATACGTAGATTGTGACAGAGCAAGAGCAATGGACAAAAATATCATACAGTGTGACCGTATACTGATTCCTCTATGTCAGGGATGGGCAACTTTTTTTTTGGGGGGACATTTTCTAGAATTATTCCCAAAAGGTTTTCCATTAAAAATGGGAGGGAAATGGGAGAAAAGTCCAAAATCTGATGAATAAATGTGCAAATATGCCAATCCACGTGTACCAAACTGCGACTATGGTCGACTGTAGTTTTAAGCTGTAATATCATCAATCACCACTAGATGGTAGATGTTTCTCAGTTGTACTTCCACTAGGTCTTCTACTGCCGTACACTACAATGTGAGCAGACTGAATAATTCTTGCACTAAATATTGGCTTCTTGTTCAGCAGTTTTGTGCCGTCGTTGAATGGTAAATTTTATACAAGAGTCCTTTGCACTGAGGGAAAAAAATACAGTACATAGTTATTTTGCTGTTGATTTAGGATAGTGGATCTACTATACATGTGATGAGAAATGTATTTTCAAAAATGAAATGTACTTAAGGATGTATTATGTCCTACATCTGGTTAAGATGTGAGTGGTCTTATGTGGCGCCCCCAGAAGCACTGATGAAAAACTGTGGCCCCCCTCCAGAAATTAACTTGCCCAACCCTGCTTTGTGTTTTACAATAGTTTTTTTCCCCCAAAATTAGCAAACTTATCATCTGTGGCGTTCATTTCAGCTTTTAAAAAAATCGCACTGTATTGTAAACAAACAACAACAGCAAAAAAAAAAAAAAAAAAAAAAAAAAAATCAAACAAAAAGAAAATGTTAAAATGTTGGACGTGTGCCTTAATGGGGCGTGGCCTAGCGAATTATGTCAGGAGATAGAGTTCGATTGGCTGGTTAGCCTGCATGCGAGCATCTGGGCGTGAGTTGTGGTCTACAGCAGCTTCCTTGCGTGTGTTTTCATTTTTAATTCGTGTTTGTCCTGCTCCAAAAAGGCAAAAAGTGCATCGGCTACTGCGGCGCAATAAATAAATATTTTTCCAAAAATAAGCAACCGGAAAAACCTTTAAGTCAAGGCACCACTGTCTCACTAATTTTCATGAAAGCCACGCTGCGCGACAGCACTTAAAAGACGACGTGTCTGCGTGTTCGCCGAGGTGACGTCCGGTCACTTTGTGAGAAGCTGCCAATCACTTCCTATTTGTAGTCGACTGTGCTGCTGTGTTGTGCGTGTGCGCCAGGATCCTGGTGTTTGTTGAGTCAACAAAGCCAAACCGGTCGGCCGGCTGTCACATGACCGTGACGGAAATTCAAAGAGCTAACATGACTTGGCTGCTTTCCTGTGTCGGTTGCCATGGCAACTGGAGGTTTCCATCGATAAAGCTTCACAGTTGGTGGCCTTGCTGTCCATAAAGCTGTCACACCTTCTTCATTTTTGTAGTTTTCATTCATGTAAACTTCATGAACGTCACCTTTGTTGTAGTTTTCTTGGTTTTAGGGGTCACAGTTGTTCACCTTCATCTTTGCCGTCATCATCCGTGACCATGTCATATCTTTCCCTGTCGTATCCTTCCTCTTTGTAGTTGTCGTTTTTCTCCCTGTTGTACTTCTCAGAGTTGCCTGCGTCACTGTCGTACCCTTTGTCGTAGTTTTCTTTGCTGTCGTAGATTTCATGGTCGTATCCTTCATTATCGTATCCTTTGTTGTAGTTTTCATCCTGGCTGTAGTTTTCCTGGCGGTACCCTTGAAAGTTGTTGTCGTTTCGGGGCTCCGTTTCGTTGTTGTTGTGGACGGTGGCCTTCCCCCACGTGACGCGGCCGGCCCGGTGGAGACTCGAGCGCCCCGCCACGTCGTCGTCGACTTGCGCGCGCGCGTCCCCGGCCGCCCTCGGGGTCGCCGTCGCCATCTTTCGACTGAGCCTCTCGGACAGCTTGCGGACTAGGCGTGCGGCCAGGCCTTCCGCTCGGGCGTCGCGCGGGTCGCCCGGCGTCACGCGCACGTTGCCCGCGTACCACATGACCCAAAAGGCCAAACTGACGAAGATAACGAGCGCGCCCGTGAAGATGAAGAAGTCGCCGTAGAACTGTCCGTCGGCCGCGCGCACGTCCGCGAATACGCCCACCAGCAGCAACGTCAGGCCGGCGACGTCCAGCGCTAAACCGGCCAACAGGAGCGGCAAACATTTGCCCACTAAACACCTCATGCCCATGCTGACCACCAGGGACGAGAAAGCATCAATAGGCCGCCGAGAAAAAAAAACCAAATAACGGACGACGAGGAGGGAAGCGAAGGAAGGAATAAACAGGAGGAGGAGGATGCTCACCTGCCTCACAGCAGACTCCGCCCACTCGGTCAACAGCCGCAAGGTGTGTCCCGGATGTCAGCTTGTCGAAGGAGGGCGCACACCACACACCTGAACACACACGCTTACACGCGCAAATAGGCCGAGATGATGCAAATCCTGCAGCCTTCTCAAAGCTGCTTTAACAGTCAAAGGTATATTTGGGTTGCATTCAACGTGAAATACAGGAGAACCAATGAACTTTTTGTGATTCGTGGCACGATTGAAAAGTGAACTATAAATTGTGCACATAAGTGCAGCCATCACTTGTGCTACATGTGTCGCTATTCCTTTCGTGTGTGTGTGTGTGTGTGTGTGTGTGTGTGTGTGTGTCTGTGTGTGTGTAATTTGGTCTGGTTTTATGTTGGCAGGGGGGCGCCCACTTGAGTCTCACGAAACGCTTTTGAGAGGAAACGTCAAGCAGCGTTTAATAATTCATACAGTCAATCGCAACGCATTAGTCCCGCCTTCAAGTGCACTTTTCCATCAGAAACATTGTCGAGTATCTCGTTGGGCTCCTTCTGTGGCGTGGCCATAAAATAAAAGGCAGAAGTGGTCGCAAGTCACAGCACAAGCTCACAAAAATGAGCAGCCCCTCTCCCATTTGTGGAAATATTCTTTTCATGGAACAGCATGGAGAAAATGACCCTTTGCTATAATGTCAAGGAGTCAGGATACGTTTACTGTCCACGCAAAGAGAACGCAAACGCACAGCCATAAATGTTTATCCGCCTATAGCAACAAAAGTGAGCCCATCCCAAAGTAAAATTGTCCATAGCGGCTTTTTTCAGCACTCGAGTCATTCAGCAATTTAATGCCCGACATACAAATCCTTACGTAGTATTTAGCGAGTAATCGTTTCAGCCCGAGAGTCTGCTACTCGCTAATTGTTAAGGAGGGGTTTCCAGTGGAGGAACTATAGGTCCACTGTGTCGAAATCCCGATGGAGTCACACGTTGAAGACGGGCTGGCGGTGGAAGGTGAGCGGCTTCTTCAAGGCTCGCCGCCGGTTCTCCCTGGTGATGGGGATGAGCACCACGCCCACCACAAAAACCATCAGGCCGATGGAGAGCAGGGCGGGGCCCAGGATATTGCTAACCTTGCGGCTGTGGCCGGCAAAGTAGAGGCCGCTGATGATGACGCCGCATGCCAGGAAGCCGCCGCCCGTCGACATGAAGTGAATGGGGAACCAGAAGACCTGGCAGCGGTCTGGCGGTGTCTCGGCCGCCGTCCACAGTGAGTCGCTGCGGGACAGGCTAAACACCGTACTCTCCGTGCGGCTGGGCGGCGTCAGATGGTCGCGCGACTGCGACAGCGTGCGCTCACCCAGGGCGATCTTTTCGGGGCTGCCTGCCATCACGTCCTGCATGCGGAGAAAAGAGAATAATGCCAAAACTGATTTTTTTGAATAGTGGGTAACGTGAGGGCTCCCTCTGGTGGTATGTGAAAGAATCACTAAATTCTTTGCCATTTTCAAAGCTGAGTTGGCCATATTTCCAGCCGTATTATCGCATTTTGAGAGATCTTTCAAAAATATTGTGCTCTGGGAAAAAAAATAAGCATTACAGTTACAAAATTACAAAATTAGTCATTACAGTTATGCAAAAGCTGATTTTCACAGACGAGCTTGGCAAGACGTTGAGAAACACACTTGACCGAAATATTGGAAGTGGTAGTACGTAAACATTTGCATTCAAGTTGACGAACGAGTCTACCGTTCGGCACTTTTCATCCTGAGAATGCAACTCGCACTGTGTGACACGAATTCAAATCAAAAGAAACAACCACAGCAGTCATTTAGTTCTTTTAGGATTCAATGAAAATAATGTGAACGTCAATGTAAAAAAAAAAAAAAAAAAAAAAAAAAATGCGGAAAGAAAGCATTCTGCAGTAATTCTTAGGTGCACCGCTAGAGGAAGCTCACGTGGAGCAACTTTGTCAACTCTGCTTCTTATTTCATTTACTCTGTTTGATGGTCTCTCATCTTTTGAGTGACAATATTGTGAAAGTACAGTAAACACACACACAGTCAGAGTTCCGAACTTGCAGATAACACTTTTTCATGGATTATTAAAAATATTTAATACTGATTAATTTCAGGGGGGGGGGGGCAATCTTTTTTTTTCCCGGTTTGGGGGTTAA